AAATTAATGAAGCTATACAGGAAACTGTGGACAAAGCTATAGCACTAACTTGTCTGGGAGAAAACAGTAACAACACAGACTGAACTTAAGATACATCAAGAAGTATACAGAAAACAAAATCCATTTCCAATAACACAGCATGTATGTGTCCTGTTAAAAATACATCATGGGTTTTATTTTTTCATGATCAGACTCATGGCAGCTGTTTGGTCATTTGAAGTCTGCTGTAAAATAACATGCCTGATAAAATGGAAAATGCTTTTTAAAAAGTGCACGAAGGTGACACTTTTTCCCAGTTTAATGCCTTTTTTATGAACACTGAGGAAATCTTTCCCCTTAAAGAAGAGAAGTATTTCCCTTGAACCAAAATGTTATGGCCAAATACCCCAGCTGGTTGGAGTAGTTCAGATCTGGATCTTAGATTTGAGGTTGGGGCCCCTCTCTGCCCCAGCCATGAACATTTTCCTCTCAAGGAGTGGTTTTTGTTTCGGTTTTGGTTCTAGTTCGGAATGAAGGATGTTGACTTTCTTTGTGAGGAAAAACATTTCCAGTGATCCATTCCAGTAAGAACAAGTCTGAGTGTTTTGTGAAGGAGTAGTATAAAAACTGCAGGAAGCTGGAGGGAGTTGTGATTGCTAATACTGTTTGAACCTCTGTAGTCCAGCACCTTGGGACCGTATCAGTGCCGAACCAGAGAATTTGCTGAGCCACGGGAGGTCAATATTGTCTAGCAGTATTATCAACACTTCCACTGCTTACTGGGCTCTTCTAAGACATTTGGGGTAAATTAGAGCTAAAGAACAGCATGGAACACCGAGAGCCAGGACTAGTAGCTATAAACAAACTTCATGGGACTTCAGGAAACTTGGCCACACCTATGATAAGTGGATATCTCCCTAAATAAAATCATGCTGGACCACAGATGTTGCTGGACTAGACAAAGACTGCACAGACTCCTCACAAGTTGTTCATTCACAGTGTTTTTATTTTGAGTTCTCTCCACTAATACCATCATAGTCCTTATGCAACTGTTGACCTTTGTTTCCGTGCTTTAGGCTTTCTCATCAAGACCCAGGGGAACAGAGGTTGCTTGTCTGGGAGACCTTTGTAGATATGTCTACGCTGCAATTAAAAACCCATGACTGGCCTGTGGCAGCTGACTTGGAGTGCTGTATTGTTTAATTGCATTGTAGACATCTGGGCTCAGGCTGGAACAGGATTTAGAACCTTGCCAGGTGGTAGGGTCCCAGAGGTAGGGCTGGAACATCTATACTGTCATTAAACAGCCCGGCACCATGAGCCCTGGTAGTCCAAGTTAGCTGGTGCAAGCCAGCCACAGATGCGTAATTGCAGTGCAGATATACTCAGTGTGCCTGGACTTAGCTAGCCCTTCCTTCCTTCCTCCCCATTCCCTGGCACTTCCTTCCTGTGCCTCTTTATCAGACTTGTGTTAATAGGGTAATTGGCTTTTTGTCCCACCCAGCCTGGTTATCTAATTATCTCAACCAACTTTCTCTGCATAACTAGTTGGTTTCTAAGAGATCAGAGTACAGCCTGTTCTGTTCACTCCCTGGCCTCTGACACACTACTGGTAATATTGAAACATGCCCCTGTGCTATTCTAATGGGAGACTGGGCTTCAGTTTTGTAGCAGTACTACAGGTTATCTGCTAGATGCCCCAGCGTACCTTCTGCTCACTTCCTGCAAGTGTGTTTATTAATCTTCCCCACTGCTACCTAAACTCTGATCAAGGGTCAAATATCCCCAAACTTTAAAAAAAGGTAGGGGGAGGGGAGAGAAACAAAGCTTCTATTGATCAGATCGTGAGTTTGCCAATTTCAAAACTTTTGTGTCTATGTATAAATATTTGGAGAAGGCAGTGTTTTCTTATCCACAGTGCTGCTTTAACTGATCCAGTGTCACCACTTTGCCTGTGGCATTATTACCTGCAGTGCACATTGTGCCAAATCTGTCAGTAGAGTAGGCTGTTGTAAACCCATTTGTGTGTCAGTGACATATGGCAGTGCATTTAGTTTTAAGTGACTTTGCAGCAGAAACTTTGAAATGTCATCAATGTCCTCTGAAACTCGAGCATAAACTGCAGGTTTATTTCTTGTTGTGATTTTTAAATTGACCCATGTACAAAGATTCTGGCTGATAGTCCAGCCAATTTTATGTATTTCTTAGTGCATGGGACGAATCACAAGCCCTGGGATTTGCCTGTCTACTTACAAACTGGGCAGCTTTCAAAATTCCCCACAGACATTGCATGTCCATGCACATCCCCCACCCTCCTGTTTTAAAAGAATGTTAAGGTTACAAAAGCCAAGCACTCCAGTTAGGAAATGCCAGAATTAATATTGTCTGTGTAAACTTAGTTCAGACTCCTTGTGCATTATGATACAGTATTTAATTATATGATCACATGTTCTCTCTGTCCCCTCATGGGACCCCTGATATGTAGGGCAGCTCTGGAGGTGCATTTATTTTTGTCTGATATGTCTGGCACATAGTAGCAGCACAGCAATTAAACTCACAGATAAGTACTGTGCCATTAGCTGGACAGGCAGTGGTTTAAGATGCCACTATCTCTTAGCTTATTAAGACAAATTAAGACAACATTCTTCTGTATTTTGGACTGTGGACAAAACCAAGTTAGAGGAAGAGCAATAATTATAGCAAAACACTCTTTGCAGTGTTGTTGTAGCCATGTTGGTCTCAGAATACAAAAGACACGAGGGGGTGAGATAATAGTTTTTATCAGACCAACTTCTGTTAGTGAAAGACGAAGACCAAGCTTTTGATATACAAGAGCAAACTGAGTAGTTTATTTCAAGCTAAGAGTACTGTGTAGATGCACCCAATGGGACTATTCAACGTAACTGTGCAGAATTCCCTTCCCTAGCTCAGTTTTTATTCAGTCTTTCCTTTCCTCATTTAAGAGCATAATAAGGACTTCAGATTTGACCTTATAGGAGTAATAGAAGGGAAAGAACTATTTGGTCACCCAGTTGTGACTAGTGCACTGGACACAATAGTCAAGAATGGTACATCCATATGTAGAAATGGCTCCTACAATGCCATCAGGATTGCTAAGTTTTGATTTGTGTTTAGATGCCAGCTGTGCACAGTGACGTTTCCTCGGGGAACACCTTAATTTAGACTCTGTTTTTTCTAGTACTTCAGCCAAAGCGAAAGATGAACACAAGCAGCTGAGGCACCCAACATATTCACAGAGTGCTGGGAATTTTTACTGACTTCAGCGGAATTTGTATCAGGCCTTAACCCAGTCACAATGCAGCACGTCAGTAATGCTAGAACCAACAGCTGTCACTCTATTGCCTCAACATCCGCCAGATCCAAGAACTAGATCTTCATCAGTCATTTGATATAGTAGAAATAAATCAGCCATAACGGAAGAATATTTTTACAGAATCACTATCTCTTATTTTGGGTTGTGTACGTTGGCAATTTCTATATATTAACAGCAAGAGGTTGAGGTGCTTAGTTACCAAGGGAAGAGACACCTCCAAAATATCTAATAGAGATAGATGCAAAACACTGTGTGATGATGTTCTAGTCTGTTGACATTGTCTTCTCTGCTAGTGCAGTTCACAGGGCACTGTCTCTTGGTAACACTGTGGGGAGAAGGTATTGCCTACTAATCTGAGCATAAATGGGAGTCAGGAACTCTCAGTTTGAATTTCTAATCCCAGCTCTAACACTGGCTTCCTTTGTGGCTTTGTGTCACACTTGGGTTGTGAGAATTAATTAGTTAATTTGTAAAACATGAAATGACTGATAGAGGGTAGATGGTAAATATTACTACTATACTGCCGATGTAAATCCATGGCTGCTGAAGAAATTGCCTCATCCAAGTTTCTGGCTACTTTTTAACTATATTTTCTGTGCTCTCTCAGAGAAAGCTGATAAGTCTTGAACATTTTGGGGGTGTGAATAAGATCTGTAAAACACCCCAAGAATCCTGCCACTATGAACTCTCCACTTGAATGAGTATTTCCTGAAGTACCAGGCCCAAATTCTCTTCTGTAACATTTATATATATCCAAAACAACTCTTCGAGGTCAATAGAATTATTCTCAATTTACACCAGCATAAGTGAGCAGAATGTGGCTCTTCATTTTCTTTTGTGGAACCCTATTATAATGAATAATCACCGAGCAGCAAATGTGAGTTTAAGGAGTGCTTCATGCTAAAGTCAGCTTTCACCATCTGCTGTGCTTCTCCCTTTTCCTTGCCATTTCTGTTGCATCTTGCAAAGTATAAAATTTGTCTGGCAAAGCATGAGAAGCAATGGATTGGCTATAATAAGGCGGAAGCTTTCTCCAGCCTTTTCTACCCGTGGGGAAGGTCATCAATAAATAGAGACAGCCCAAGGATCAGACTGCATTGGGAGACCAACCAAATCAAATCTCGGCATGATCTGGCCCTAATGAATTAAATACAGTGTATGTATGAAGCTCTTCTGCTGAGTTAAAGCCTAAGGCTATTTGGCTTCTCCCAGTAACAAAGCTTTCATTTTGTTGTGACATATTAGCTGCTAAATAGAATTTTTCTCTCTGGCATTCCCCAGGAGAAGACTAGTTGGCAGTTTAGTGTGTGTGTATGAGAGCGTGCATTTATAATTTCCTAATAATCAGAAACCTGACACTAAGAATCATCGTTTTCTTCCTCCAGTGAAGCCAAATAATAATTCTCAATAAAATAATTCCAAGCACTGAGACCTCTTAGCCCAAGAGAAGTAGTTCAAGGGCCTTTACATGAATCAGTCAAATTGTACAGAACATGCAGGAATATATCAGTGCTGCACTGAACAAGGTGGGATAAAAGGTCTTTTCCATCTCCTTAATCACTGATTCTAGGAAATGTTTGAGGTGTCTTTACTCTCTGCCCTGTCCATCTCCCCTAGTTATTGTTGTCATTTTCTTGTTAATATGCTCAATAAATCCATTATCCTTATTTGATGTTTCTGTTTTTAGAGACGTCCAGGGGGGATGTGTTCTTTCCTGTACCGTGTGTGCTGGGCAGCACTGCCACTACAGATTCTCTTGCTGTTTTTGCTGCTCCTGGCGTTTCTGCTCCCTCTCGTGGAAGAGACCCAGAGCTGCAAGCTTGCCAACAACTTCGCCCGCTCTTTCAACTTGATGCTGAGATATGAAGGCCCTCCTCCAACTTAACTCCATGACAGGCACGTGGCAAGAGGTGACTGGCTTGGACATCGATGCTGCTTTTTCCTTTTGGTGTCTTGACTATTGCTTGGCCTATAAATCTAAGGCTTTTAACATGACCACCAGATTGACTGGAAACATGGTCAAAACATGCAGCGTAAGGTTAGTCCGTATAAATCAGGTATTAACATTTAAAGCTAAATGAATATTTTTACACGATTGTATGAATATATTTATACTATGAGTGTGTGTATATATCTATTTTATATATATATATATATTGTGTGTGTATATAACTATAATGGAAAAAAATCTAAACTCCACTGTTTTGGTCTAATCCTGTAATGTTTTTGCTTCCACCTTTGCTTCAGCAATGCATAGCAGATATTTTAAAAAACTGAGTTCTTGTTGTTTATAACTGAAATCGAAGTGAGCATGAGAAAAGAAGGGATGTTCCATGGAATTGTGTGCCAGAAAAATTGTCACTGAGACCTGAGATGAAATGGAATCATGTTTAAATACACTGTTTGCCATTTAGCCTTAGCAAAAGGAAAAGTTTCTGTTCAGGATCAGTAGCTAGGTTTTCTGTTGCAATTGCTTTTCTGTTGTCACCACTGATGCAAATGCCAAACCTCCCATTGATGTCTGGGTGTGTGAAACCAAGCCTACAGTATATTCAAATGCCGTCTGTGATAGTCTCCCAATTTTTACTGATGTTTTGTCCTTGATCATTCAAGTCGGAGAGGTAGAATTGAGCAAAGCAAACTGAAAATAATAAGGCATTTTTCTAAACCTCACTCTAGTGAAATCATTTTGGAACCAAATTATCATTTTTATTTTATTTTGTGCAGCTATATAAAGCTCTGTATAGCAATGAATTATGCAGAAGGAGAAAATATGATCTTGTTCCTTCTTTTAAACTACAGAGATCATCCACATGAATGCTTTTTTAACAGAAATTGCTCTGAGATACACCACGTGCTCTGAGCAGTGAGATACAGCTTATCTCAGCATCAGCATACAAAATGGTCATAGCACAGAAGTGCATTAACAAATGCAGTCTATAAAAATGATTCCTTACTGAGAGGTGTTATTATGCCAGTGGTTTGCTAACAAAATATGATGTTGTATAATTGCATCAAGCATAATTATACTACAGGTTTTTTAAAAATCTGAGGTCTGAGACACTGAGGATTGTCATAATTTAACCTGGTCTTGTGCTTGTTTTCATCAGCTCTTCTTTTTTTAACAAAAATGTATGCATTCAGTAGTCTTTATAATGTAAATGTGGTTCACAGCATTATTATGAGGAAACCATTTCTTGGTGGTGTTTTACTTAATTGGAGCCTGCATCTTGTGCAAAGAGGGGAGAGAGGTTTGTTTCAAATACTTGGTGGCACTTCTTTGGTTCACCTCCTTTATTTCTGATAATTTTTATCCTGAGTCATACTGGTCAAACTTCCAGTCAAAAATATTAACTACTTTTTTCTATCCTGGCTATTTTTTGAGTGAAATTTGAATTCCAGGTGGCAGCAACTGACTTTTTTGTCTCTCTCCAAACACATATCAAAATAATATCAGTTATATATTGGATATGCATTACTGTATAGCTGTAGGGGGAATCACCTTTTTGTACTATAAAACATAGGGGAGGTTAATTGCATTCTGCCACATTCTACAGAGCATGCAAAGCTTCTATTCCTATTGTAATACTCGGGACGTCGAGTATGACCCATAATTACATGTGTTATATAATTTGATGTTCATTGTGCACTAACTACAGAGCAATTTCATTAAGTATAATGATGATTACATAGAACATTAGAATGGCCATAATGGGCCAGACTAAAGGTCCATTTAATCCAATATCCTGTCTTCCAACAGTGCCAATGCCAAATGCCCCAGAGGGAATGACAGAACAGGTAATCATCAAGTGATCCATCCCTTGGTGCCCATTCCCAACTTCTGGCAAATAGAGGCTAGAGATACAATCCTCTTATAGTCTTGGCATCCACAGCATCCTCTGGCAAAGGGTTCCATTGGTTGCCTGTGTGCTGTCTGTTATTCCTGCCTACTGAGTCCATAATTATGAAGAACAGAAAAACCAAATTCAGATTTGAGAGTCCCCAAAAATCTTTAAAACATTTTTTGATAGAATGGGTAGCATATGAAGGAGAAGACAGTAACGAGCACTGAATGGAAAAGAAGCCATGAGTGGGGGAAGAGAGAGGTAAGGAAGTGGATTCAGATAGAGAAGAGAGGGTCTGAAAAAATCTATGAAAGGTAAAATGCAAGAATATAGAAAAGAACAATCTCTATTAGGGTGCATCTAGTTTAGTAGTTATCAACCTTTTTTTCATTTGCAGGCCCCTAATAAAACTTGGAATGGAGGTGCAGACCCCTTTGGAAATCTTAGACATCATCTATGGACCCCCCAGTAATCCACCGACCACAGGTTGAAAACCACTGATTTAGAAATCTTCATGCCTGTGCTGGATTATTCCCCACTGTACATTGCCCTGTCCAGTTTCAAATGTCCAGGTGAAGGGCCACCACCATTTCTCTGAGGAGACTATTCCCCCATAGAAGCTCTCACTGTTAGAAAGGCTTTGTCTACGCAAAACATTTTTCTTCGTGCTTCTTGTATCTGCAGTGAGACCGGGGTTGGCAAGGATGGTGGGAGCTCTAATAGAGAACACTGGTGTTCTAACAAACATGTTGTCTAACCTCACTCACATTGCTGTCTGCTGCTCATGGCAGGTCTGCACTGGAGCTAGGTCATTGCTAAAGCTAGTCAAAATGTTTCAAATGGAGGAGATGCTTTCTGATGAAAAATGTCTCTGAAATTTTGAAATTCAGCTCCAGAAAAATGAAACAGTTATTTCTGTACATTTTCCAGGCAACTAGTATAACTATGGGAAATTAGAAAGAGCCCTGGGGGAGGGAGAGAGGAAGGAAAGCAGCAGAAGGAAGAGCAGAGGAGGCTCTGAAGTGATGCAGATTAAAAACTGGCAGTTAAGAGCTAGGAGAAGAGACAGGTGACTTAAAGCAGAAAGGTGACAAAAAGAGGAAATTGTGAGAGACAAATAAGGGGTTTAAATATAAACAGGAAGAAAAGGAAGGCATCAAGCTGTGTCCTCCTTTGCAAAGGAGACAGATGGAAAAGAACTATAATTTACAAGTGATGCAGCAAATGAATTCCTTCTTTGCAACCGTTATTTCCAGCAGAGAAGAGAGACACATCCTCCTAACTGATTACAAGAGTCATGCAAATTCTGCTCTGTGCAGCAAGGATTTAATCATCTAAGCTCTGAGCCATGTGCTTCTTGGGGCAGGAGAGAGATGTGTTAATTTCTGTAGCATAGCTATATTCCACTTCTTTGAGGGGTGTTATGGCCAGGAAATGAAGTAAAAGTATGAAAGGCAGGAGAGAAAAAGAACTATAGCAAGTGGGAAAAATTAGTTAAGGTGAAGATCAAGAAGGAAATGGTTAGGATTTTTTTGTGTGTGAAAATTACAGAATCTCCCAAGAGCTTTTGAGCATTGGCCTTTTCTGGTCTGGATTGTTTTTGTAAAATCCATTGGTGAACTCAAGCATTGGCAATACAAATGTAGAGGACATTAAATAAATTATTTCCATACAGAGGGTCTTATGTAAATAACTTCCATGTCATTTTAAAGTTTCAGTGTTGTGGCAGGTTTAAAAAAATCTAAATTAGAACCACACTTTTGCTGCTGGGGTTTTGTGTTGAATTTATTCTTTAATATTTCTGCTGTAAATCTTGGAGTTTTTCGCTAGGAATCACAGGCAAATTCGTTTTTGTAAGTAAAGAAAGCAATACAGTTATCTCATAGTGGAGATAAAGTTTTCTCTGCTTTTAATGGAAATCAGCTCAAGCATTAGGCCCTGACCTTGCTTTCCCGCCAGTTTGATGCTGGTGTAACTTTATTGATCTTAGAGGAGTTACTTCCAGTTTATGTTGGTGTGAGAAAGATGTAAATGAGGTCCTTTGTGGAGTTGGTGTCAGTTAGGGGCAGTGACTCTGTAAGCTCAGTCTCGTCTGAGGAAGTGGGTGTTGCCCATAAAAGCTCATGATACTATATACAGGCAGTCCCCGGGTTATGTGCAAGATAGGGACTGTAGGTTTGTTCTTAAGTTGAATCTCTATGTAAGTCAGAACTGGCATCCAGATTCAGCCGCTGCTGAAACTGACCAGCGGCTGACTACAGGAAGCCCGAGGCAGAGTTGCTTTGCCCCGGGCTTCCTGGAATCAGCCGCTGATCAGTTTCAACAGACTGAATCTGGACGCCAGTTCTTGTTCTTAAGTTGAATCTGTCCGTAAGAACTGGCGTCCAGATTCAGTCTGTTGAAACTGATCAGCGGCTGATTCCAGGAAGCCCGACTTACATACAGATGTAAGTTCCGACTTACATACAGATTCAACTTAAGAACAAACCTACAGTCCCTATCTTGTACGTAACCTGGGGACTGCCTGTATATCAGTAGCCCTTTTTGTTCAGACTCATTTAATCTTTTACACCTTTCCCAACATTTATTACAGGCTACTAGCAGATTTACTCTGCATTGCTCAGGTCCTTAACTCAATTTAAGTGTTGGGGTTTTTTTTAATAAACGGAAAATATACATGCTTTATTTAAATGACTTTTTATGAAAAAATGTGGTGTTATTTTTGTGAAGTTAATTTTTATTTCTGTTTCTTAAAAGAAGGGATTGTTGAAATTTTTCCATTTAATTTCTTTAGTTAAGTTTTTAATTGTGAATTTCATCATGTATTTTTTCTTCATCCCTATAAACTCTTATCAGTCTGCTGGAGACCAGCAGACCAGGGAGACAGGGAGCAAAGCCTCTGAGGACCCCAGCAGCGGGACAGCTGCGGCACGTCTGGGCTGTCCGCTGCCCGCGTGCTCCCCGGCTTTGCTCCCAGTCTCCCTGGTCTGGGGAGACGTGGAGCAAAGCCGCGGAGCATGCGGGCAGCGGACAGCCCAGGCGCGCCGCGGCTGTCCTGCTGCCGGCGTCCTCAGAGGCTTTGCTTCCTGTCTCCCTGGTCTGCTGATCTCCAGCAGACCAGGGAGACAGGTAGCAAACCCCGTTCGTAACTGCGGATCCGACATAAGTCGGATCCGCATAACTCGGAGACTGCCTGTATATATTTGTGTTAGTCTCTAACGCTGTATCTAGACTACATCCCTCTGTCGACAGAGGGATGTCAATGAGGCACTGTAAAAAATGAGGTTTACAGGATCTTTTGAAAAAGCCTGCCGTTTTTAAAAGAACTGCGTCTAGACCGCGGTTTTACTTTCGAAATGGCGTTTTTTTTTAAAGAGCACCATGACGTGATTATGCAAATGAAGTGTGGGATATTTAAATCCCCGCTTCATTTGCGCTTTCGAAGTGCCTCATTTATGTGTCTCTGTTGACAGAGGGATTTAGTCTAGACACAGCACTAGGTACTACAGAACTACTCTTTTTTTTTTTTAAGTTACAGACTAACATGGCTACGCCTCTTAACACCTTTAGAGCTGGGTAAAACTTTTTGGCTGATAATAAACAACAATTCTGAAAATGTCAAAATATTTCATTTTGATATTTTTAAATGAAACATTTTGCCTTTTATATTCAAAACAATTTTACATTTTGAATTTTACTTGAAAAATTTAAACTCTTTTTGAAAAACCTCTAATTTGACCTAAATGTGCTTTCTTCGGTACATTTGGTTTGCTGAAAATGTAAAAGAATTTGTGGTTTTGGTAAACCTGAAATGTCTTTTGGGGAGAGAAATTTGGCCATGAAGCTGAAAAATCAGTTATTCACGTCAGTGACATCTGCACAATTGGGCTTCAGATTCAGACAATGGAATCCGTACTGGTGGAGTTCTTTACATGCATGGCAATAGCTAGTGCTCACACCTCCATGCTCATGCTACCTGACCCATTTACAGTGAATCCAGAGTCAGGGAATCTTAAAGGAAAACTGTAGCTCTTAAATTATATACATTTGATCTTAGGAACTATTTGCACATGCATGTTAGACCAGCACTTGACCATTTAGGCTGCATGCAAACATGTTCATAAATTAATATGTTTGAGCTTGCAAAATTGCATGCACCAAAGTTCTTTAGGTACAAGATGTCACATACTATCTGATGGGCCAAGATGATGCCCCTTTGAAACCAGGGCTCAAAGGGCCAAATTCTACACACGGATGATCATGCTTGGAAGTTAGTAGGATCTCCATGCCCTCCAAGTTCAGACTTCAGCCCAAGCCTTTGGAAAAAAGCTTTAGTCTAATTTATGAATTGTAATTGATTCGGTAGCCAGACGCTTTCAACAGTTTTTTCCATTACTTCAGTACAATGAGGTAGAAAATTGCTATTGTGCTGCACACCTATTTATAGAATATTCTTTGATTCCAACCAGCAATTTAGATTGTATTAAATTCTATTTATATTATCCTCTCTCTGAGTGGAAAAATGTTCTAAGAACACACAAAAAAGTCATATTCTCCTGATAGCACCAAGACTGCAGAGCTGTCATGATCTTTAAGCCACAATATAGCTTATTTGCATTGCTGTTACATTTACTATAGCCAAGTATTTCTGGCTGAAAATAAAGCTACTAACTTAATTAATAAAGCCACGAATTAATCATTATACAGTGTTCTTTTGCATAAATTGCAGTGCTCTTAGAATCACAATTTATTGCAACTTAATCCTATAGACACTGGAGTTGATTAAGTCCTCAGAAAAGCACCAGTCTCTCCAAAAAGTGACACTTGCAGATATCTATATAGTGTTCCATTAGACAAAACAATTACCAGCTCTGCTATATACTGGTGCTCTGGGATTACTCAGCATGATCATGTCTAGAACCTGAAATATTTTGTGCATGGTGTATGCATAGATCTCCCATAGTGTAAAGGAGACTTACAAGAGCACTTTGAGAGGAGATACGGTTTAAACACTCAGTTGTACAAATAAATGAAAGGGAGCAAATGGGAATCTGTAAACCAATGAGTTGCACTGAAAAATCTTTCTTGCTGCTTGGGAATCATGGGAATTGCCAGATAATAATTAAGGACTAAAATTAAATAGCAACAGCATTCTTTTCACATTTGATATTTATTTTAGCTGGGTGGAGATATATTTACTTTCACATTTGAAAAACGTTTTGCCAGTACTCCGCTAAATACACCTCTTAGTGAAATCATGCAAGGATTTTGGGTTATAAGTTGTTACATTGTATTCATGGTCATAATGAATTTGGAGACTTTACTGTCCATTAGTTTAGTTGCTATTCTGCAGCTGAAAACCCATTTACCCAATGAAATATAAGGGCTCCTTTTGGGCCTGATGTGGGGAGTCCAGCAAGTTCATCATAGTTCTCGGCTCATTGACATGCTCTGAGCTCTTAAAATTCACTGTATTAATCCAGATGTGCATGCTTGGCTGTTCCCTGAAATCTGCCTGCTTAGAAAAGCCCATAGATAACTTCTCACAGTTACTGTGATTCATTCAGAAACCAGTTTTAATATCTCTACATATTTAACTGATATTCAGTAAGCTTGATTATATCTAACCATGACTAACCATGCTTATTTTTTTAATCACTGGACTTTGAGTTACACAGACATGCCATTTCTTTATTCATTTTGGTTTTGTACAATATATAACACAAATCCAATTTGTTTTAAACAATTACAGTTTTCCCAAAATATCAAATATAATTTAATAATCTAGCATATAGTCTGTTTTATACATTTTTATTAAATTCCTTGGTCTGTCTAATTGAAAACCAGACCATGTGTTTTTGGAAGAGTTATCATCATCCCCTGAAGAATAAGGTTTATCAGGAATATGTCAACACAGCTGGTAGCCTAAATGGCACCACTATAATTAAAATACTATTCACAAGCAAACCTTTGTTATCCAAACTACTTTAGCAATTGCTAGGTACTGACTAGTAATGGAAATTGTAGGCTCTCTCACGTACAGGATTCTGTTATACCACTGAAGAGGCTAAGCTGTGTTGGGGAAGATACAAGCACCCCAATGGAGGCGGCAGGAGGAATTATGCCTTCAAAAGGCATAATGGATCCTAGGTTCTATACCACAGGAACATAGAAATTACTGCTCTGGATCAAATTTGAGGGTCATTTTTTCCCATATCCTCTTTTTGGCAGAGGCACCATGTACTCCAGAAATCTCTGCTTAAAGCCTAATAATTAAGATAAATTCTGATTCCTGAAGCATATTTATCACTTTTTATATCACTTCCAAAATTTGTGTTAGCATTAATTATGATGAATCTTGATATTCTTTATCTATCTAAATGCCCAGTCCCTCTTTGAATCATGCTGAATTTTAGCCTCGGAAGCCGCAAGTGGTAGTGAGTTCCAAGTCTCAACACATGCTGTATGAAAAGGTATGACTTAACAGTTTTAAATGTGACAAATTTAATTTTTATTGAATGTCCCCTTGTTCTTGTATTACATGACCAAGAGAACAAAAGCTCTTGATCTACTTCCACTAAACTGTTGGTTTGTATTCATTTATCATATCCCCTCTGATTTTTCTCCTTTCCACTGTGACTTTTTTCCCAATTTTTTCGATGTATCCTGACATATGAGTTCTTCTGTGCCCTTGGTTATTCCCATCACCCTTCTCTGAACCCTCTCTAATGTTAATTTTTCACCCACTGGTAAGCTAAAAGCTGACCTTTTCTTCCTGGCTTGATGACTTAGCAGTGTGTTGGCTGTCTCTTGCTTTGTTTACTGCTGTCCTCCCTTCTCTGCTCCCATAACTGTCCCCTCCAGTCTCTCCATAGTTCAGCTGTTAAACTTGTCTTCCTCCCCTGTCAATCGCTGCCACTCTTTGAATATTTCCTACCATGCGTTGTTTCAGTGGTTCCTCCTGACCTTCACCCCTTGCACAATTCTGCTAAACCCTACATCTCGGATCTAGTGTCTTAGCCTATTTCTGTGCCAACAAATCCTACCTCACTGACCTTTTCATTACTGACTCATTCCTTCTCCCTGTCTATTTCCATGCCACCCCACACATAGAACAGCCTCCCAATCCCAGAGTTCTGCATCCTCCCCCTTTCCTCGTTCAGATC